TTTTTTCTTTACTAATTTTTTTATTATTTTCTCCACCTAGCTCCACCCTGCCATGTGCCACTCTGACCGGAGCCTGGATCGGGCGCAGGTGATTGGCTTCGCCTCGCCCTGCGACATTCCCGCCACTGGGGAGGGGCTGCTCTACCTGAAGAAGGTCCTCCTCAACTACGGCCCGGTCACCACCCGCTTCCGCACCCTCTGCGGCGAGGAGCACTGTCCGGCGTGGAATAACCTCGACGGGCCGATGAACTTTCCCTGCGTCTACGAGGGCTACCCGCTGACGGCGCACGATCACGCCATGNCATGTTGGTCATCGGCTGGACGCCCACTCATCTGATCATCAAGAACAGCTACGGCGACTACGACAGCGAAGAAGATGGGGGCCATTGGGGCGAGAAGGTAGGCTGCTATCAGGGAAATGTTGCCTCTTTTTATACACTTTTGATATGCTTATCAGCATACCCTTATTTGCTCACCACAATTTAGGGCTTTCTCTATCTGAACTACAAGTACCTGGAGAACTGTGGCGTTCTGGGCAGTGGCAGTGAACTTACCTTTCCAGAAGTAGATTAATAAAAATAAATAATAAAACCAAAGTTGTTTAAACTTTCCCAAAAAGATTTAAGATTAGATAAAAATATTTTTATGTAGTAATGTTGATTTTGTTGTGACAAGTCTCCTGTGAAGTGAGTGAAATGCTGGACGTCAATGATCTGTACATTAACGGGTGTCTCTGAGTTTTCATAGTAGATTCCTTTATTGGAACTGAAACAAGAAGAGTTTACAGAGCAATGAAAGCGAGCAGAAAGTGAGGAGCCAATCCGGCTCTCTGCCGGCAGGTAGTCGGTGCGAAATCGGGTAGTGACCGGGCCGTAGTTGAGGAGGACCTTCTTCAGGTACAGCAGCCCTTCCTCGAAGGCGGGAATGTCACAGGGCGAGGCAAAGCCAATCACCTGCGCACGATCCAAACTGCGGTCAGAATGGCACATGTCAGGGTGGATCTACGGAAAAATGATACAAATCAGCAATCAAAACGTTTGAAAAATTAATTTTGTTTACCACAAGCGGGACTGAAAAGATTCACGGAATAANAAAATGACAAGTGAGCGACTGTCTGGGAAATCAGCCAGTAACAAAACAGGACAGAAAAAGCATTTGTAAGGGCTAAAGCCCTAACCACAACACTAAAATAATATTTTTAATTTTGCTTTTTAACAAAGTTATCAAAAAAAATTTTGCAAAAGTCAAGTTTATTTAACCAAAAAAACAAATAGACTTGATTTTTAGTTAGTCAACTTTTAGTAAAAAAAGTCAAATGTATTTGAATGGTCAGTCGAATCATTTTTACAAATTTTTTAACTGTCAAACCTATTTGACCCGTTTTTCTGTGTGTAAAAGCTTAATGTAAAACATAACTAGTAATGCTTTAATTTTTAAATAAAACGATAGATTTATTTTTAAAAGTTTATCAATCATAAAATTTTAAATATTTTATCCTAAAAATTGGGCAATTTAAAATCATCTTATTTTAAAGTACAAGTAAATGATTCCAATAACTAAACTATTAAAAAATGGTAAAGGATGATGATATTGATGATGATGATGATGAAATTGTGTAAATGTTAATGTTGTAATTTATATAATAAAAATTGTAAAACAAATTTTACACATACATTACTTACAAAAATTGTATAAATATAAAATTTTTTCCTTTTTAAAACATGTTTAAAAACATATTCTATTTTAATTTACAAAAACTTAATTTTATTAATAAAATGAAATCGCTAATATTTTTATTTATCTTTTTCCCTTTTTCAGGTTTTACTGTTTTTGCTCAAAACGACACTAATTGTGGAAAAAGGAAAATTAATCTTCNAAAAATACTTTTTTCGATGCAATGGATGTGTCAAAAGCTCATTTGTTTCCATGGACAGCATCGATTGGTCTGATAAAAAACAAAAACAAAAATGATTTAAAACCGTACTACACTAACTGGTGCACAGCATCAGTGATTCACCCTCAATGGCTTCTTACGTCTGCCAGTTGCGAGCGTGTGGTAAAGCAAAACTTGAAAGCCTATGCTGTCCTTGGTAAATTTTAACTTTGTCTAATTTATATTTTTAATTTTTTACTTTTTATTTAGCTGCTTACAATATCAGTTCAGAAGCAGTTACCGGCAATGATTCGCGCAAAATAACAATAGAAATTGAAAAAATAATCGTTCATTCAGAATATAGTGATTCTAATGCCTTTATCAACAATATTGCCCTAGTGAAACTAGTTGCGCCTGTAGACGTAGCCGGCAACCCTGATTTAAACACAATTTGTGTACCAACGCTTAGAGCACACAAAATTAAAAAGTATGGCCAAAGGCGCGTTATACCCGTAAATGTGGCATGGGAACCAAATGAAAAGAATGATGCTAAATCTGAATTATTGCAAGAATTGGGCTCTACCATAGTACCAAATAAAGATTGCATGAAAAAATATAACATAGATCTGAAATATAAACATCAATTATATTGCATGAATGCTTGCTTGGTATATAAAAAACTTTATGTTTTAAATTATTTAAAAACTTTTTTTAATTAGGGTTACGACGGTGGCGCGGTAGAATTTATTAATCATCAACCATCTGATGACAAATATCCGTGGACTTTGTTGGGTATTGCTTTTCCCAAGGGTAGCAACCCTGACAACTCTTGCTGTGTTTATACTTCTGTGGAATACTATTCTGATTGGATTTGGAAAACCATTCAACAAAATATTTGAAAATTTTGGTAGCTTTAATTTGTTTACAGTTTTTTTTATTAATTTAAAACTGTGTATTTTTGCTGCTAAAATTAAAAAATTGTCAATTGTTTAAAAACATTTGCCAAGTAACCCAATGATAAATAAATCAAACAATTTTTAATTGATTCAGTGTGTTTATTGTATTATTCTGTTAAAAAAAGTTTATAATTTTGAAAGGTAGCAAAAATATAAAAGAGCGTTATTCAACGTTATCAAGGACCAGGGAGGTGAAAACACCTGTTTCTTTTTTGCCGCCATTGCCGCCCTCGAGTCAAGTTACATGCTGAAGCACAAAAACGAGCTTCAAAATGGCAACAGCACGAAGATCATCTCCTTCAGCGAGAAGGACGCCTACAACTGCCTGGCGGCGACGGCGGTGCTCCCCAATCCGGCCAATGGCGGTCACGTGCTGGCGCTGTACAACCTGTACAAGAAGAGCCGCAACCGCTCGGNCCCGTATGACTTTATTCCTGGAAAATTTTCAATTCCGCCTGAGGTAAATAAAAAAAACATTTTTAAACATTTTTTTCTTTACTAATTTTTTCTATTATTTTTCCTCTTCCACCTAGCTCCACCCTGCCATGTGCCACTCTGACCGGAGCCTGGACCGAGCGCAGGTGATTGGCTTCGCCTCGCCCTGCGACATTCCCGCCTCAAAGGAGGGGCTGCTCTACCTGAAGAAGGTACAAAACTAAAAACAAAGACTTTTCTTCTAAATTCGAATTTCGAAGGTCCTCCTCAATTACGGCCCGGTCACCACCCGCTTCCGCACTGATTGTGGCCATGAGAGCATGGACGATCCCTGTCCGTGGAACAAAATAGTCGGTCCGATGAATGAGCCCTGTGTGGACACCAGTAAGTACCCGTTGACGCCGCACAATCACGCAATGCTGGTGGTCGGCTGGACGCCCACTCATCTGATCATCAAGAACAGCTACGGCGACTACGACAGCGAAGACGATGGGGGCCATTGGGGCGAGAAGGTAGGTTGCTATCAGGGAAATGTTGCCTCTTTCTGTACTCTTTTTTAAAAGTTCCGAAAACTTCCGAAAAGTTTATCAGCACTTAACTTTTCGTTTTGCTCACCCCACAATTTTAGGGCTTTCTCTACCTGAACTACAAGTACCTGGAGAACTGCGGCGTTCTGGGCAGTGGCAGTGAACTGACCTTTCCGGAGGTGGATTAGTGTAAAAAAGATGAAAAGGTTTTACTATGAAAAAAATTGTTTGACATTTAAAATAAACTGAAAATGTTTGCNAAATGTTTGCGAAAATCTAGGAAAGACAATTTTGCTAAATTCACATTTGACAACAAAAATCTTTTTTTAACTAAAATTGCAGTAAAGCGTTGCAGTGTTTTGTAATATAAAAAAATTTTGCATTTTATTTTTGTTTTTTGCCTTACCTATTGCCTTATCTATTTGCACTTCTTTCCAACATGAAACTTTTACATTGTAACACTTTCATTATTTTACTGTCTTCTTTTTCTATTTTCTGCTCACCTGAAGACGCTCAAAAAGGCGCCATTGGAAGCGCAAGAAAACTCGGTCAATGTTGGAAAAGCTTACACAGCAAAAAATCGAACAGCAGCAGC